TTTTCCTATTATCCTCATTCATAGTACAACTTTCAGATGCACAGCAAGTAATTGAAAAGATAGATCATGGCTTGAATCAGGTGCACTTTAGACCTTTAGACTTTAAACTGACATCCTTGCTCTTTAACACTTTGGAAAAGTTCTTGACAGCTGGTTCTCCCATGTAATACATCTTTTGATTTCTTGACTCTTGTACTCTTAGATGTTGATTTTGGATCCAAGTAAAATGAAATAATTGTCAATACCAATCCTCTATCTATCTATCACAATCTTGCCTACTGGCCTAATTGTGTTGTTGCTGTTGTTATGTATCGTTGAGTAGGAAGCAACTCATAGCTGATCCTCGAGCAGGTTTTCAGAAGCAGTAAATCACGTAAGAGGAGACTGCTCATCCTTCTCCCATGAAGCAACTGGTAAATTCAAATCATGTGCCTTTGCTATTGCAATGCCACTTCTTACCACTAGGCCACCAGAATGGTGAGGATTTTTATTTTCTTTATGCTGAGATGCAATCCACATTGAAGTCTGTGATCTGTGACCTTCTTCAGCAAGTGTTTCAAGTCCTCTTAACTGTCAGCAAGCAAGGCTGTGTCATCTGCATAACACGGGTTGTTAATGAGTCTTCCTTCAATCCTGATGCCACATTCTTCTTTATATAGTCCAGTTTCTCCAAGGATTTGCTCAGCAGGGATATAACCCAGTGCACACCCTTCCTGATTGCACAGCCAGTCTTGTCTTCAAGGAAGACTTTACTGACTTCCTCAAATAGTTCACATGCTGCCTCCACAAGCTCTGATAGCACCATATACACAACCTACACACCGCTTTACCATGTTTGATTGTTCTCTTCCTGGCTAGAATATTAAGTTCCACAAATCCAGAGTACGTGTCTGATTTTTGGTGACTTCATCCCTGTCACCTTGCACAGAACAAGTAATAAGAGCTGGCTGAATAAATCTTTTCTTTTTAGAGTTTTTATGATTGTTATTACCTGATACCATTAAGGCTAAGAAAAATCGAGGGAGGGTGATAAGGAAACTATACCACACAAGAGGGTATAATTATCTTTGAGTGCTGCTGACAGAAAACATCCATTTTGGGAGAAGGTGATTCTATATTATAGGTGACTGTATGCTTAAGGGGTAAAGAAGACTTTAGGAGGGAGTAGGACAAGCAATGACAAGTCACAGCCAACGGGCAGTGACCAGGGGAAGGAGGTCCCCATAGAGAAGGAGCAGCACATAGGAACTGATAGTATGTGGAACATTCCACATCGATGCTTTGTTGTAGAACAGAGGGGTTCAAAACTGTAGAAAGCCTTGAAGCAGGATAGGAAATTTATGTTTATAAGTAGTAAATGTGAAAGTGGTAAAAAGAATGTTTTAAGAATTTAGTGCAGTCCCCTCATGAAATCTTAAAAAAAAAAAAAGTGACCATCATTACTCAAATAACCATATAAAGATGATTTAATAGCAATGTGCAGGGAGAAAGGTGTTAGTACAGTACAACACCTTTCTTTCTCTTTTTTTTTTACCCCATGTTAAAATGTACCTAATAAAAATGTTTTCCTATTATACAAATTCATGCTAAGAATGCCATACTTTTTCAAAATGCTTTCAAACACACGGCATACAATAGCTTGCAGCCGCACCCTCATCAATTGATCAAGTGTTTGGTCATCCCAGCTGACACCTTCCAGCTGGTACTGCCCCAGAAAGGCATCTCCCAGATGAAAGGCACATGCATGTCTCCAGAAGGCAGGGGCATCCCCTCGGCAGTGCTCCTGCATCAAAGGCTGATGCAGAGAAGGGGATGTTTACTCCACTTGGGGTTGCAGTTACTACTGTGTAAATTCACCAAGACAAAGGCGAATTTTTCTAGAAAACAAAAAATGCCTGTTATAACAAATGACTAATTCACAAATGCCCACACACTGTATGCCCCTGTAATAGGAACCCAAGTGAGCAGCAAAAACGCCCTTATTGTGATATACAATAAGATCCAGTCGTTCAAAAACAGCACTTAACTCATTACTGAGACATGTGTCCATTGCTCAAACACGGATAGCTATTTAATTTCAATTTGAAGATTGTAGGAAAAATGACATGCCTCTGTTTACACACTCCCTATTTAAAACCAACATAAATACAGGTATGTTTTTCATCCAAGGCAGATCAAAGAACACTATAATACTGTGAAGCCTCAGCATTATTCTGCCCCATTCCCACAGCCTCCTATATGAATTCTTGTCATTACATCAATTTAATCCCCTGCCATTTTAGGCCACTGTTCGTCAATCTGAATGAAAAGCACAACAGCTGGCATTTAATATGACGGAGTTCCTTTCTCCAACCTGCCTCCGTTAAAGTAAAAGTTTGTTGAATGCACAAAATTCCCTTTAAAGCTCATTTGAGATGCATAAGCAACCCTAAAGACAGAAAAGAAAAACAACAACAACAAAATAATAATTCCCCATTTTAAGGAGGCAGGCTGGTTGGGGGAAGGATTGAATTCAGACCCTCTGTTGATGGGTTGGCTATGTAGGCCACTCTGCGCCATCATTCACCAGGCAGGCCCCAGGCTGCCCAAGCCCTGTCTGAGTCACTGTGCCTTTAATCTCTGCAGAAAGGCTCAACTTTTCTTGACAATCCCAGAGGGCAAATGCTGCTTCCCTTGCCTGGCCCACATCTCCCTGCACACACAAACCCTGGCCATATGCTTCCTGTGGCTCCAACTCACATGCTCCCTCTACTCACTGGGATTTGGAGCAATGACAGCCACAGGACGGACCTCCAGCTACAGTCACAACGAATTGAGAGGTGAGAAAATATTCTTCAACAGGAAATCCAAAACATAAGCAGGTAGAGACCAGAAACACTTAGGAAGAATCAAAGTATATGTCGCCCCACCAAAAACAGTTCTTCTACTGCCCTAAATCCACTATGGGTTGCCTCTGCCTTATAAGAGATAAAAGTGTTTCAGAAAGGAGGGACATTTTATAAGTCTGAACGTAGAACCCAGTTCCTGGGTAAATGTCCTTGGCTTCTAACCTGAAGGTTGGAGGTTTAGATTTACCCAGAGGCATTTGGGATGGGTGTGGGGAAGGCTTGGAAATAGACTTCCCTAAAATCAGCCATTGAAAACTCAATGGAACACAACTCTTCTCTGATTCACATATTGCTGTTATCGTTAGCTGCTGTACAGTCGATTATGACTCACACAAATGTTTTGAACATATCTGAACCTTGACCTATCCTGCACTATCCTCACAATACTCTGTCAAGTTCAAACCCATGGAAGTAATCATTGTGTCTGTCCATCTTGTTGAGGGTCTTCCTCTTGTTCTCTGACCCTCCAACTTTCCCAGTATGGCATCTCTATTCAAGCCTTGGTTCTTCCTGAGAACATGGTCAAAGAACGTGAGATAGAGTTTCACTTTCATTCTTGCTTCTAAGGAGCAGTCTGGTTGCACTTCCTTCAAGATGGAATTGTTTATCTACCCATCTCTTCTCCATTCCCTCTCCAACACCCCCATGTCTGCCCTGTTTTTGAACAGTGGTGTTATGCAGTATTTATCTTTTTGTGACTGAGATCTTTCCCTTAACATACTGTCCTCAAGGCTCCCCATGTTGTAAAAAGTGAACACTGAATTGGAACAGATGAGGAGGGAAACTGAAAGGAATATATGATTCTACATTATATTTATGAGAATAGTTTGGAACAAGAGGGGCATTATGAGGAAGGTCAAGGAGAGGAAGGGAAGGGAAAGAAATGTGCAATAAAGAATCAATTATTAATAAAATAAAAAATTAAAATGTTAGACAAAAAAATAAGAGATTTGTTTGTTCTTTTGGCAGCCTATGTCGTTGTTGTTTTTGTTGTTTGCTGTTGAGTTGCTTGAGACTCATAGTGGCCTTATGTACAACAGTGCTAAACCCTACTCTATCCTGAGCCAACCTCCGGTCTCTGACACATCTATCCCCATTACCCCAGTCATTGAGTCAATCCATCTCGTCCAGGGTATTCCTCTCTTGCACTGTCCCTCCACCCTCCCAAGTATGTCCCTCTCCAAGAACTGCTCCCTCCTTGCAAAATGCCCAAAGTATTTCAGACAGAGCTTCAAAATCTTTGCCTTCATGAAGCACTCTGATTTCACTCTCTTCAGGACAAACCTGTTTGTTCCCCTGACAGCCCATGTTATATTCAATATTCTTCTCCAGCACCACAACTCAAAGGCATCAATTCTTCTTCTATCATCCTCAGTCATGGTCCAGCTTTCTGATGTATTACAAGTAATTGTGAAACCCATAGCCTGGATCAGGTGAACCTTAGTCTCTAGACTAGTATCATTTATCTTCACTACTCAGAAGAGGTCCCTGACATCCCACTTTCCCAATGCATTTTGTCTTTTGATTTCCTGACTGCTGGTACCAAAAGTGTTGATTGTGGAGCCAAGCAAGTTGTTGAGCTGTTAACAATTTCTATCTCTTCATCATCTACTATGATGCTGCCAATGGGCCCAGTGGTGAGAATCTTTGTATTCTTGATGTTGAGTTTCAAACCATAGTTAAGGCTGTAGTCTTTGACCTTCTGCAGCAAATTCCTCAGGTCCTCCTCAGTTTCAGCAAGCAAGACTGTGTCATCTGCATAATGCAGGTTGTTGATAAGTCTTCCTCCAATCCTGATGCCAGATTCCTCCTGATAGATTCAGGCTGTTCCACATGGCATATTCAATTTTCCTCGCCTACACCATGATTCAAAGGCACAACTTGTTCTTTGGGCTTCTTTACTTATTGTCCAACTTTCAGATGCATGGGAAGCAAATGAAAAAAAACATGGCTTGGATCAGGCACACCTTAGTCTTTAAAGTGATGTTCTTGCTCTTTAGAACTTTGTTAATGTTTTCCTTTCAATCAACACCCGTGGTAGCAGCATTCAAGAAATCAAAAGACTTGGAGACGTTGGGTGGACTCCGCTGTAAACATTAACTTCCCATCCAGCCAGCAGCCGCGCCACCGTCGCGCGTCCCAGCGCCGCGACCGGGCTCCAAGCTCCGTAGGCCGCCTTCTCACGTGCGACGTGGTAACTCACGACCTCCGGGCCGTCCCCGACTCCCGCCACCACTCAAGGCGCCGCCGCTGTCTCCACCGCTGCCCGGCTCTCCGTCCACCCGCCTGCTGCTCCTTGGAGTGGTGTCGTACATCAAAGAGCAGACTGGGCCAGCATCCATGAGAAGATATGCCAGCTCCTGATTCCGCTTCGCACTCCCATGCCCTTCTACAATTCAGAGGAAGAACGACAGCATGGCCGGCAACAGTTGCAGCAGCGGCAGAAGTATTTGATTGAATTCTGCTACACTGTAGCCCAGAAATATCTCTTTGAAGGAAAGCATGAAGAAGCTGTTCCAGCAGCACTGCATTCTCTTCGCTTCCGTATGAATGTGCATGGCCTCAGCTCAGTGGAGCTTGTGCCCGCTTACCTGCTGTTATCAGAGGCTAGTCTTGGACTGGGTCGGATCGTCCAGGCTGAGGAATATCTCTCCCAGGCCCAGTGGACTGTGCTCAAATCAACTGAGTGCTGCAATGCCACCCACTCTTTATTGCATCGCAACCTGGGACTTCTCTATATGGCTAAAGAAAACTATGCAGAAGCCCGTTACCATTTGGCCAATGATGTAAACAAGCTAAATATTAACATTTGGATGTTACCAAGAACAGCTCTGCTTAAAAAAAAAAAAAAAAAAAAAAAAAAAAGAAATCAAAAGACGTGTTTCACTGAGGAACCCTGCCGTCAAGGACTTCCTGATACACCTAAGGTCGCCATAAGTGGATCCAACTCAGAACAACTAGTGGTGCTGGTGGAGACATAGATTGGGAAGAACTATGGGATACAGAGTCCTGAGGTGACTTTTGTCCCCCAGTTTTCAATGGTTAGGATAGAAGCACCCTCACATACAGCAAAAAAAAAAAAAAACCCACATCCCATAACCACAGTAATAACTGGACCTTGTAACCTATGAAAAACAGTCACAGGCTTTGAAATTGAACTCCTTGTGAAGACAAGAATGAATAAAAGATCCTCAATAGCAGTCAATTGACTTTACAGTGATTTGTTTCCCAGAATCTTCTGTATTGCTCAGTTAAATTACCAACACATTAATGCACTGAGAAATCATCATAAAGACTTGTTTAGTAATTGTTCTTGTAGTTGTTATGTGCCGTCGAGTCGTTTGCGACTCATAGCGCCCCTATGCACAACAGCCCTAAACCCTGCTCTGTCCTGCACTATAGATATATTTTTTTAATTGTTAAAAAAATAAAAAAAATAAAAAACAACCCACCTTACTGTATATGTAGAAGAATCTCTGTTTGTTCCTAGGGCCATCAACAAACTGAAAACTGGTCTTGATCTAAACATGCATGAGCAAGTAATCTAAACCAATGTAGACAAGATTTCATTGCATTTCTACGTTGTTGGTCTTATGTGCCTTTGAGTTTGAAACCACTCGTAGCTGACACTTCCACAGATTTGTCAATGATTTAAATTTCACAAGAGGAGAATGCCCATCTTTCTTCCACCAAACAGCCGATAGATTCAAACAGCCTGTCTTTGGTTTGGCAGCACAACTCCTTACCAACTCGGCTGCTAGAGTTTGCCTCAATTATCAGGAGCCATCTGAAATTTTAATGTTCAAGAGAAAGTACTATCACATCTAATCATAACTCAAAGTGTAGATAATTGAGCAGTCCTAAAACTTTTCTATTAAAAATTGCAGAGTGGATTATATTTGGGGTTGGGGTTGGGGGAGGTGCGGGGGGATTGTGTACCAATGAGGGAGTTTTTCTTTTGCTTTTCAAGGAGAGGAGCAAATGGGGGGGGGAGGGGAACAGAGGTTGTGGAAGGCCTCCAAAGTCCAAGGAAACAACCTGTTTGAAATCAAGTCACTCTCATCTCCATTTCAGTGGCCCTGAACCTCAGAATTATCAGCCTTTGTACAATCTATCCACTGATTAAAACCTAAGTCCAATTCCGCTAGCGGCATTCACAAGTCACAGTTATCGACCAACATAGGCACCTGGAAAACTGACTTCTGCTGCTTAAGTAAGATGTTCTGTTTGAGCTCATCATTAAATGTGTCATTCTCTAATAAGCTCCCATAGAAGTTCCTTCAGTGCTGTATTATCAGGTTACTAGGTGGACAGTGTTTGGTGGAGCTCCCTGATTAAAACAAGCTTGGATGCAGGAGTGGCATCCACTTCTGAAACAGCTTGCCCCCCAAAACTCTAGGAACTTGGAGAAATGATGAAAGTTATACAAGTGTCCAGGTCTTTCATTCATAGGGTCACTATAAGTCCACGACTCGATAGCACCTAAAAACAATGACAACAGCTACAATGCCGAGGTAAACGGCATACATAAAGTATTTCTCTCCTACCAAAGGTGGCCTCGTCAGTGAGTTTCTTCAGAGAGAGCCTTACGATGAAGAGCTTGACATTCTCCAACCTTTCCTCCAAGCCCCTCATTCAATAGGCCACGGCCTTTCAGCATTAAATGAAATCCCAGGTTTATTATTCAGATGAGAAAACTGAGGTTCAGAGAAACTAAATAACTTGACCTCCAAGAAAATCTGTTAGGCGGGGGAAGGCAGGTTTCTTGATGACTAGGATTTCTTGAAGAACATTTCTGAACAGAGTAGTCAAAAGATAAGTAAGTCATGGTCAAAGGCACTGTGCTTCACTGGAGTGATTTTCTTACTGGAGTCCAGTCTTCCAGCATTTACCTTTCATTCCTGTCTGGGCTGGGCCAGAATCAGCACTAATTCCTTAAAGAATAAGGCATTCGGGCACAGAGACCATTCCTTTCATGCGCAGGGAAAACAGCTCTCTCAACCTTTAATATGTCTCCGGGAAACTCAACCAGCTGACCCAAAGGACCCATTTTTTTAAGCGCTCTACTCTCCACAGCTGAAAATGAGGGCCTCCTCCAGCCCCAATTCTGTGCATTGTGACCTGGCACACCCCAAGAGGAGCCACCCCACCGCAGAGCATGTATGTGGCCCCAGACCTTGGCAACAACAGCCCAAACACACTGGGGCTTTGAATCTGAGGAGACAGCAAAGGCAGGAAGGAGGACTCCTCAGCCAGGGCTGTGAGGAAAATCGAACCCTCGAAAATTGCAAAGCCAAAGACGCCGAGAGAGATTCTTCAATGTCACAGCTGCTTACCCTAGAAATCTCTCCTCATTTGGGGATGACATCGGCAGGGCTGACTTTTTTGTCACCAGTCACTCCGCACTGGCTTTAATTATGCAGCACACCAACAGGAATTTTCTTTCTGTTCACATACATCACAGGCGCCGTGACATGGGCTCAATAGGCGCCGCTAGAACAATGTGCTAAGAGCTATCGACTCCATCGCTCAAGTCCACAAGGTGTATCATTTAGCCAAGAGTGATAATTAGACGCAGAATATACTGAAAACTGTCAATAGGCATGTCAATAGGAGAACTCTTAGCATCTAACACCCAGTGAATCAATGGTGTTTTTCAGCTATAAAATCAAGAAAATGATAGCTTTCAAATGAATGGTGGAAAGGAAACAGGAGCCTCCTTGGGGAGGAATAAAACAGCTCAATTTTCCCTTCCTGAGTGCCTCTCCAGCTACCTCACTCAATGGAAAAGGTCACAGAACATTACAGCAAAATATCTCTGAAACAAGATGTACAACAGCGCTGGGACATGGCTTGCTGCCTGGGTACCCGGCAAAGGCCTTGCTGTCTTTGACCTGACAGGACTGGCGGACAGGTCAGCAGGTGGCAGACAGGAACCTGAAGGGGCGGTGAAAAGCAAGGAGGGGGGACAGTGATTGAGATTCAGAAGAAAGGCATTAGTGAGTGCTCCCAAGGCTGGGTGCTGCTGAAAGGACCAGCTTTCAGCAAAGCTCAATTCCATTTCCCAGTCCATGCAAATACTGCTCGACAATACTTACATGCTGTGGATTGTGTGCTAGTCTTTGTGTCAATAGCCTTATGCAATAGATAGCTTCATTGGGCCCATTTTGTTGTTGTTGATGGTGGTAGAGTGTACCATCAAGTCAGAATCAACCCACAGCTGACCTTCCAGAGGGTTTTCAGAAGAGCTATTTGCACAGGAGGAGACTGCTCTTTTCTTCTTCCATAGAGCAGCTGGTGGATTCAAACTGCTTACCACGCAGCTACCAGAACTCCCTGCAGTATGGATACTGGGGCATAGAGAGATGAAGTAACTCCCCCAGGGACACACAGCTAGTAGAAAACAGAGGCAGAATTTGTACTCATGCAGTCTCCAGAGACTGGACTCTATTTACAGCTCTATTCTGTTGCCTCTCATAGTGGATGGTGGCCTGGAAGCACCCCGATGGGCCATCAGTCTTCTCCCATGCAATTTAAAGCCTCACTGAAAATAACTTGAGAGTCAGCTGGGAGTCATTTGTAAACCAAGGACAAGGTGTTTTTGAGTAGGTGATGGACCTGTGGAAGAGGAGGAATGGCACTGCATATCCGTGAGCAAGTCTCAGGCACTACTGAGGGTGTCTGATTCCTCCTATATAGAAGGTTAGCCATGGTCATGTTAGCTGTGGGGTATATGTTACCATTCACTTACCTATAATATTGTTGTTGTTGGACAAGATTGTCCATTCTTCTCCCGCGGAGCAGCTGGTGGATTCAAACTGTTACACGCCTTTGGGATTGCAGTGCAGTATCTAACCACTAGGCCACGAGAATAATAGTACTATACACTTATATATGTCATAGAATAATAGTACTATACACTTATATATGTCACTCCAGTTTGCAAACTGCCTTATCATCTTTATTTTTACAGCCAAGTATAGCAAATCTAAAAGATTTTGGTAAAATATCTTTGATAACTCTTAAGGATGAAACTGGATCAGAATACAGACAGTTGTGACTCCCAGATTATGCTCATATCATCATTAAACTAAAGGCGAGGAGAAGCCTTTAACTTAAAGCAAGAACAATGACTACTGTATTTAGTTAGTCCTCACTGAATGACAGCAGTAGGGGGAACTGGTACGGGAAGAAAAACAGAAGACTGAAGTGAAGAGAGCTGAGAGAAACGTAAGCAGTAATGTCTATGTCTGGACAGGGTTGAAAATAACATTTTGGTAATTAACAAATGAAGAAAATGTACATGAATTGCTATTTCTGGTTTCCATCTAACATACTAGCTGCTTAACTGATTATTTCACTTTCAGTAGGAGGTTCTTCATATATTAAGTTGGTGGAGGTCTTTCGACCAAGACAGCAAATTTAATTCCAACTAACATTTATCAAACATTTACTATGTGCCATGTTCTGGACTTGATTCCTTTATTTAATAGTGTTTGTTTAATCTTTGTTCTGAAAGCTACCACTTTAAAAAAAAACCCCTTTTGATGTGATAAAGGGACACAGAGTCATTGCCTTCAGTAAAATAAACCAGCTGTCAGACTATAGACATAAATGGTAGCCTTCTAATTAGCTAATCATTAGTGGACATTATCCAGATGACATCTTCAGTGACTTACACAGCTAGGTATGTGACCATATGCACACATCATCTATTTGCCATGACCAAAACTTTGTTCTTGGCCTGTCTGCCCCATGTGTGCTTCCTTTAAGGAAGCTCTCATTTGTGACTTTCTGTGTAACAATAGGTTCTACAAATAGGGTCCTCTGCCAGGGTCAGGGAGAAACCCGGAACACTACTTGAGTGGTAAGGAATTGTGCTGCCAACACAAAGTTTCAAATCCATCAGCTGCCCTAAGAGAGAAAAATGGACATTCAACTCTCACATAATTTACTGCCTCTGAAAGGTCAGTTATAGGTTGGTTCCATCACCATGGTACACAACAACAACAGCAACAGACTAAGTAGATGACATCAGACAGGGTACACAAGAAGCAATCTACAATACTTTTACTTGACCCAGGTCAATGATTTTGCACCAGTTACAATAACTTCCTAACATGTCTTTCTACTTCCCCTCTCTCCCAAGTCAGAGTCTAAAATATAAGTTAAATTACAGGCCGTCCCTTTCCATAAAACCCATCTGGTTTCCCACCTTGCTCAGTAAATGTCAGAGTACCCATATGACTTACAAGGACCCTTGTAACTTCACTCCAGTCTATGGAGCTCTTAATTGCTCCTCTAGCTCATTAATCACATTTCTTGTCAGAGTTTTGAATTTTTTTTCTCTTCTTCAGCTACTCTTCTCTTATATCCTCCCAAAGGCTGCTTTTCTTATTTGCTTATCTCAATATAATTGTCCCCTTCACAAGAGAGTTTTTACCTGAACGTGCTGTTTAAAATAGAGCACACATACATAGATATCCTCACTAGCTCTTCTATTGCACTTAATTTCTACACAGCACTTATCAACAATTAGCAAGTGTTTATTGTTTGTTTACTTTTGCTTCCCCAATTACAGTGCAAGCTTCATGAGAAGGTGAATATTTATCCATCACTGTGCTACAGCTTTGGTGCTGTAGTTCACAAGTAGTTGCATTGCTTCTCTACCATTTAAATCCACCAGCAGTTCAGCAGGAGAAAGATGGACAATCTACCTCTGTGTTATTTACAGCCCCAGAAAAAAAATCCCTGGAAAGTCAGCTGTAAGTTGGTTCCAACTCAACAGCAATAAATCTTAAGTAAGACTTACCACAACATCTACAGCTATGCCTATCAGATATGTTGGATTGTGATTGGGTGCTACTGAAATTAGGTCTGCAATAAATAGCTAACAACTCTCTGAATAACCAAATACAGTTATATAATAAAATTCTAAATTAAAAACGATAAAATTATTAAAAGGCTGAGCCATTTACTTCCAACACTCTGGGTATTAATCATAGGGTTGCACAACTCAATGAAGGAGGCAGGTGAAGGAAATAGGAAGGATCTTTTGTGAAAAACGATGTATTCAAACTTTGTAAGTAAACAGTATAAAATTTAAAAACAATATATGATCACAAACGAACCATAATACAAAAGGAAAAGGTCAGAATTGTCAAGGGTTTCGTTGTGGCTCTATCATCAGTGCTCATGGAAACAACAGCCAAGGAATCAAATGACATCTTACATTTGGAAAAATCTGCTGCAAAGAACCTCTTTAAAGTACTGACAAGCAAAGATGCCACGTTAAAGACAAAGGTCTATCTCCTCCAAGTTATGATATTTTTCACTAGTTGCATCTGAAATGTGAAAGTTAGACTGTGAATAAGGAAGATTACTGAAGACGAATTGACATTTTTGAATTGTGGTTTTGGTGAAGAATATTGACTATGACATGGACCACCAAAAGAACAAATCTTGGAAGGACAGCCAGCATACCCCCTTGAGGACAGAGACACTTCAGCCCACATACTTTGGAATTAGTATCAAGAGGGCACATACTTGGAGAAAGACATTATGCTGGGTGAAGCTGAGGCTCGGTGGAAAAGAGCAGAACCCTCGTGAAGATGAATTGACACCATGACTGTAATGATGCCCTGGAGCACGGCAGCAGTCAGAACTGTGCAGAATCAGGCAAAGTTTGCTTCCTTCTCATTACACTGGTCACTAGAAGCTGAAGCCAGCTCGGCAGCTCTTAATAACAACATCATCAAGAATATAGACTAACTTTCTATAGATAAAAATGTTAAAGGCTGGAAAAATATATTTCTGAAAACTAATTTAGAACACTGGACAGCTATCATGGAAGGTGTAGAATGGAGGCTATTCAAAGACCTTTGAAAACAGACACCATGCTCGTAGTAGCTACGCTTCTACACTTTGCCTTTAAGATCTGGTCTCAATCTGCACTGTACACTGTACAGCTGAAATTCAAGAAAACTGCACTGTTAGGCTGGAGCTCAGCACTGCCAAAGTGGATGATGTTGCTGTTATGTGACATCAAGTATGACTAACTCATAGCTGTCCGTCCAGCGGGTTTTCAGAGGCAGTAAATCCCACGGAAGGAGACTGCTCATCCTTCTCCTGTGGTGCAGTGTGTGGAGTAGAACCAAGTGTCTTTAGAATTACAGTGCAACTTGTAAATTCTGAAAGGAAACTAGAGAAAAGAAGGGGACAGAGCTAAGAGACATCAAATCTGCATATAACACCTTCAAAATCCTTGGCTGTCCCTTGAAAACTTACACATCTTAACATCTTAAATCTAAGAAGTAGATTTTGGATTTTAAATTCAGACTAGGTAAATGAGCATCCACCAAACACTGTCCACAATGGGTAAGTATTATCACATTTGACACATCAGTGTCACAGTGTTCAGCATCACAGCAACTACGAGTTACCTCTGTACAGCAAATGGACAGTCCAGTGCTAGGCCACTAAGAAGAATGTTTGACCAAAAACAATTAAAACCAGTCCTGAAGGCCACAGATTAAAATCACTTATCTTTGGTTTAGTAGCATAACTTTCTGTCCACTAAGCCAACAGCTCTCTCTCTATATTGTTGTTTTTAAGAGCCGTCAAGTCATAGATGACTGATAGTGACACTATGAATGAAAGACCTAGACACTTGTATAACTTTCATCATTTCTCCAAGTTCAATGTGATAATGGTGGACAGTGTTTGGTGGTGCTCCCCAATGAAGACAAATTTGGAAGCAGGAGTGGCATCCACATCCAAAATAGCTTGCCTCTGGAAATGCTATGAATATGACACAACTTGACAGTACTTAACGACAATACTTCACAATGGCACTTAACAACAACAACAAATGAGCATGCTGGTGAATTCGAACTGTCAGAGAGGTGCCACCTTCGGATTAGTGGCCTAATGGTAAGGAGTTATACTGTCAACTTAGAGGCATGCAGTTCAAATCCACCAGCTGCTCCATGGGAGAAAGATAGGATGTCTATTTCTCAGAAACCCACTGAAAGACCAACTGTGAGTTGGTTCTACCTGGACAGGCATATAACAAAATGACAGCTAAAAACCAAAAATGAAAATAGCTGAAACAATCAATGTTTCATTAAGAACTGGACAATATATTAAGTGTAATAACGTGTGTAAATGGAGTTCCAAAAGGAAAGAAGAATAAAAGGGTAGAAAGAGCACTTTAAAAGCTGAAAGGTCTCAAAATCCAAAAATGCTAAGGAAAGTAACAACATATTGATCAAACTTAGAGAGTTCAAGTAGGATATATGCCAAGAAAACCACATCTGGCTCATTAAACCTATTCTCTGAAAAACAAAACATAAATAGAAGATCTTAAAGGTGTCCAGAAAACAAAGACACATTAAGTTCAGGAAATGATGAAACAACTGAAGCCAGACTTGTCATCAGAAGCAGAACATGCCAGAAGGCAGTTGAAGCATATCTTTAAAACTTTGAAAGAAAATAATAAGCTAGGAAGGCGGAATTCCATACACAGCAAAAATATCCTTCAAAACTGAAGGCAAAATAAAGGCATTTATAGAGAGGCTTGATCACCAACACACTTTCAGTGTCTTAAGCTATATTTCACTTAATTCATACCAGAAAAATAGATGAAAACTTGGATAAACAGAAAAAAATGAGTCTGGAAACTATAAAATGAAACTCTATAAAGCTTTATAAAATTTACATAATGGATTATATTTATCTTAATCTCTCTAAACTTCACTTGTCAGTTACATGGTGACATGATTGTTGTTATGTGCCATAGAGTCACTTGCGACTCAGCGACCCTATGTAACAACATCCCAAAACTCTACTCTGTCCTGTGCCAATCGCACTGTCTCTGACATTCCCATGCTGATTACCCCAGTCACTGAATCAATTCACCTCATAGAGGGCCTTCTTCCCCTCCTGTGCTGCCCCTCCACCCTCCCAAGAATGATGTCCTTCTCCAAGGACTGGTCTCTCCTCACAACATGTCCAAAGTATGTTAGACGGAGTCTCAGAATCCTTGCCTCCAAGGAGCCACCCGGTTTAACCCTTTACAGGTTGAGTCTGTTTGTTTTCCTAGCAGTCCATAGTACTCTCAATACTCTTCTCCAGCACCACAGCTCAAAGGCATCAATTCTCCTTCTATCCTCCTTAGTCACTATCCAACTCTCTGATGCATAACAAGTGATAGCAAAGACCATGGCCTGTATCAGATGCACCTTAGTCTCCAGAGAGACACCATTGCTCTTCAGTACTTTGGAGAGGTCCCTAACAGCAGACTTTCTCATCACAATACGCCTTTTAATTTCCTGGCTACTGGTGCTGAGAGTGTTGACTGTGGAGCCAAGCAAACTAAAGCTGTGAACAATCTCAATCTCTTCGTCATCCATCCTGACGCGGCCAACTGGCCCACTGGTGAGAATCTTTGTCTTCTTAACATTGAGCCTCAATCCATATTGGAGGCTGCAGTCCTTGACCCTCAGCAGCAAGTGCTTCAGGTCCTCCTCAGTTTCAACAAGCAGGGTTGTGTCATCTGCATATCACAGATTGTTGATCTTCCACCATTCTTGACCCCACATTTCTACTCATAGAGTCCAGCTGTTCTGCATACAGGTTGAAAAGGTATGGAGACAGGACACATCCCCGGTATATGCCCTTCCCAATTTTGAACCATGCAGTGTTCCCTGGAGGTAATATTAGCATTATAAATGGCAGATTCTCATATGGTGGACGAATTCCAGAGGAGCTTCCAGACAGAAATGGACTAGGAAGAAGGATCTAGTTCCAGCTCTGCAGTGCACAACAACATGCCATTCTTATACTCTATACTGCACTTTTAAGTTCATTGTTGTAACAACTAAGTCAATAACTTTTGTTGACTACCTTCCCCTACTTTTTTTAAAACTGGCCAACCAAAACCTTCTTAAGAACATTTTCTGAGATATTGTTGAAAGATAAGCCTTCAAGGGGAGCTCTGGTGGCCTAGTGGCAAGAAGCTGCACTGCAATCCCAGAGAAACACGGTTCGAATCCACCAGATGCTCTGCCGGAGAAGGAGGCGCAATATCCTCCTGTACCAGTCAGATCCGATTTGACGGTACACGCACACAAAATAATAAAAAAAAAAAAAAAAGAAAAAAAAAAAGAAAGATAAGCCTTCTGGGCTTGAATTGAGTAAAACTACTTTTTCTAATGAGGTTTAACATAAAATGAGAGAACATAGCAGCAAACATTCACTAATAACAGTAACATGGATATACAAGTAGGAAATATAGAAAGATTGGGCACAGTAAAAACACAAAAAGAAATAAATACATAAAGATCTTATCCCAGGAATAAATTAGTTGAAATGTACTGGTATCAGCCATTTTCAAACTGATAATTCTCCAATATACTATGTCAAGAATGATAAATTTAAGAGAAATAGCATCTCATTCATCCTGAAGTACAATGCTGTCAAAATATACTTATGCTTATAAAGAAGTCCAGGGAATATGACTATTATTAGCCTTTACACATTACCAATGCCAAAGGTGAAGAAAGTGAAGATTTTTTTTCCAAACTTCAATGATTAAGAGATTGAGATTGTTCACAGCTTTAGTTTGCTTGGCTCCACAGTCAACACTCTCGG